GTCAATGAGAACTATGAGTTCTTGTTGCAATACATAAAGACAAATTGATGTATTAAGTTGTTTTTACGTCTACAGACGACGATTTTATATTTTGTGATTGTGATTTGGAACGAAAATTGGCGTATAGTTTGTCCTAAAGTCATAACGCTGCAATGCGTAGTGAACATGACATATTGCTGCGTTGTTTACGTCTATAGTATTAATTCTATAATGTCGTATAATTTGCAGTCACGCGTCTGTAGGATTTTTTGCCATCACTTTGCTATTACAACCGAAAAAAAAATAATAAGCTCGATATCTTTACCTTTTCATTTCTAGTCACGGACAGTCATTTTATGATGGGGTTTTATTGCACTAGGGAGTGCGAATATCAAATTGATCTTTCAAAAACTGCGCAACAAATAATTGTAGGGTTGCTAAAAGATAGAAAATCAGCAAGCAACAAATCTGAAAGTAAAGGCGTCGTGTACAAAAAAAATTGAAAAATAGATTGTATAAGCCCACAAGCCCTGCTTTGCCATAATTGTATTTTTATTGCAGTATTGTGTGTGTGCAAAGTTTAAAAGTAATACATAGTCAACCTTAATAAGTCAAATTCCACCAAAAGTCTTCGATGACATTATTCGCCATAAAAATAAATTTTACAATTAAAATCGTACGATTGGAAAGTACAGTCGATTATGACATTTCATTCAACATTTGAATTACAGTCAAACTCCCCGTTATATCGATATTTTTGTTACACCACGAATTTAGCGCGCGCGGTGAAGCGACATATTGGTAGGCCAGAAATCTCTCTTTCTAGGGATAACTCATGAGTGATTGATTATCGAAATGTTAAAGGAAAATATCTAAGTTTTATTGAAGTTTAATGAGATATACAGTATAAGTAACTACTCCCCTTAACCATTTAAGACGTATATGATGACACTCAAAATAAATAAAGCAACCTTTTTTTCCTTCCAACATATTATAATAATAAACTAAAAGTCTCAATATATTCAATGAAATTAGTCTTCAATTTTGTTCCCTTTTTTTTCAACAGTACATACAGTGGCTAGCACACGATTTCTATCTTTCATATGCTAGTATGTATGCTTACACTGCCAGACGTTGCACACGCTTCCTGCCTAGATAAACAAGCGTTTAGGTGTAATTTAAAAAGAATATCAATGTTTGAAAGGTAAGACTACAATTCACTCAGCAAACCTTTATTACGTCAGTACTCTATCAACATTTCCATTAATGGATGTAATGGATGTCACGCTAAATTATTTTACTCTTTTTTTGTATACACTTTTCAACATAAGAGACAAAGTTTATTTGCATCGATAATAAATACTGTAATTAATTACGCCATCGTCATATGTATTTCTATTTAACCAATTAGCAATAGAGGTTTTTTATTCTAATGCTTTTTCCGATAAAAAGAAAAGCCAGTTATATACTCATCCAGCGTCACTAACCTCCCCTCTTTCCAAAAACCCCACCAATTTCTTATTTTTGCGTCTATTTTTGTACATGGTATCGACTTCAAGCGAGCGGATAATCGTCTCCAATGCCAAATACTAAAAACTAATGGAATATCTCTGCGGTAGAGGACATCGTCCAACTGCTAGTACAGCAACCGGTCAATCCATCCCGACATCTCTCACTCGACTTCATATCAAAATTGGTCAAGACTCACTACAATCTAAATGGCAGGAAAGCCCAATAAAACTCCAAGGCAAGCTCAAAATAATTGGAAAAGTTTGTAAATTTGACATCTAGCAAACCACATAATGGGAGTCATAGTGCTACATGTACTAACCTCTTTATCTTTTGTTTGTCTAATACATTATATTAATAATACATTATGAAGAACAAAACTGCCTGCTTGTGATTTCAACAAGCATTCATCTTTGGCAAAATTTACTCGTGAAAATGGACATGGAATTTTATCTCTGTTAGCGTTGCGTTTTACAAACATCGGCCGTGTCAAATGATATACGAAACATACTGTACATTCAAGAATCAGTTACTGAGTATGTCTTAATTAATTCGGGTGTTAAAAGATCCAAAGTAGCAGATTGTGGTGGTAAGCGACTTTAATAAGTTACACATTATTTGGGCGAGCTATATCCTTTTCTTCATATATACCAAGTCAATCATAAAATTTATGCACGAACTGTAATCATGTAAAATATGATAAACATTTCCTGTCATATTCCCCAAACTTTGAATATACAGTGTGTTACAAAAAAAATTGGCCAAAAAAAGTTAGCAATTACTCAACAACTTACATATCAATTTTTATTTAGTAAAAATTTATTAAAAAACTGAACAACTCTAGTTAATCTGTAATAATGGAATTTGCTATCCGAAGTCACGTGACTTTTTAAGATTTTTACTGGTCAAATTCCGAATTATGGGCGTCCGAATAATAATAAAAGCGTCCAACTTTAATCCCTAATAACTTTTCATAATATAATGTAATTAAAAAAAACTAAACCGTAAATCTGAAAGAGAATCGTTAGATCTACCGTTTTTACGGTTTACATTTTTAATATTGTTTAAATTGGCGGACTAGATAGGTTTTGAATTTGTTTGATGACTATAGGTGCCTTGCACCATAGTGTACTTTGCAATATTTAAGATATACAGGAAAATAATGGAATATGTACCAAATCTAAACAGTTATAGTTATTCTAATTTCTGGTTTTCTACTCGTCAGGCTAGCTGGAGGAGTAGGAATGCTAGACTAGGATTGTAATTTTCAATTCTAAATTGTCTCTGGCTTGTATTATTGGGCTTGAGTCATACATTTGACATTGATGTGAGGCCAGCTTTAACATTTGAACGAGTAGTTTGATTATATAGCTTTTTGGACTACATATTGTTGAAAAGTAAAAGAAAGTGTTTGGGCTAAATGAATTTAATATTCAACAGCAATTATGAAAAGTAGTATTGGTTCGGATACAGAACCTTAATTCAAATCTTGAACTTTTCTCTATTTTCATTCTCTTATCCTTTGCCTCAATTTTGCCAATCGAACTTCAGGCATGCCGTCTTCATCACTCCATAATTCCTTGCCGGTATCATTCAACCCTTTCAATTTTGGTACTCCTAATTGTTCGATTGTATAACTAGCACTAACAGTTCCATACAGGGCTGCTTCAAATACATCAAAGTTGGTCTTTAATAATCCAGCTGCCACTCCCCCACAGAACGAATTTCCAGCACCAGTTACATCGACTATAAGTTGGCTAGGATTCTCATGGTATGCTGGAATGTGTCTTCGTTCCTGCTTTGTTGCTACAAGACATCCTGCATAAGCAGCACGGAGTATTATACAGCCATCGCCGTGTATCCCAATGGGATGAGATATAAACTCATCTACCATACTATTCAACATATCTTTTGTTAGAAATTTCTCGTACACATTACTGTCCTTATTATCCTCATCCACTAAACCCAAAAGCGCAGCGGCTTCTTCATGATTCGGTAATATGATATCAACCAACTGCATCGCCTCCAAAAGCGAATCCCAATTTATTCTTTTAGAACTCCTGGGACTAGGTTCCCAGACGAAAATAGGTCGTGGCAACTGTTTGTCTCTAAGTCTTAATATCTCTGAAATTTGCAGCATGGCTCGAGTCGGCGAGCATAACAAGTGAATGACGTTGCATTCGAGATACGATGACGGCAGGTCTCTGGGTTCGGTGCGAATAGACGGCGTAATGTAACTGAATTCGCGATGGCCATTTGATGTTAAGACGTTGAGGCCGTGGACGCTTGGGCGAGTGGAATGAACGGCAAGTGTCAGATTAAGGTTGAGCGGGAGGAGAGCTTGGAAAATGGATGGTGGGAAGTCGTTGCCCGCTTGGATTACAAAAGCTATCTTCTGTGATTCTGGAGATGGATACCAAATTCTCATTCCTTATGTACGATTACGAGGTATACGAAATAGTGAATTAATTAACTGGTATATTATATATTTTACATATATTGCACATACACCGACCATATATTGCATGTGTTCCTCCACCGCCGATAACGTTCCTTCTAACAGTTCCGTCTATATATCAGACATTGAGGATAGTCTGTTAGGTAAAAAGAAAACATTCATGCTTCCATCTCGACTACGTCAGTATCCTCACCCGCCAGCCTTATTTCATCGATAATAAAAAAAGAAAGTGACAAGAGTTCAACTTTGGGCATCGGATTGGGAATAATAATGAAAGGATACAAGCGCAAATCTGACGATAGTAAACATATTTGATTTGTAGATCACCAGGACAGGATTGTACAAAGCTATAAAGTTTTTTAATTTGAACAATTACAATGTTACGGCAAGTCAATTAACGTGATCTATATAATGGCTTAAAGTGTATCAACTTCTTCTTAATCGTGTGTTTCTCTGACTCAATTACTTGGTGATTTGTTACAATGTATTGCCTTTGGGTTTCCTGCCTATATTAATAGGCCACATAATCTTAGCAGGAAAAGATTATATGTACAACAAGAATAATTCTAACAATGTTATATGGAATGCTGTTTATCATAATGATGTAAGACCCTTATCAAGGCTTTAGGAGAGTAAGTATTCTAGTATGATCTTACCTACTGGAAATCTGCCTAAACAGAGAAACAGTTATGATTTTGGTTGTTCCCAACAGTTACCTCCTATACCAAATTTCAACTTGCCAAGTTCAGGAATAGAGTTAAGGGGATAGACGAGGTGTAGGGGCTAGTATGAAGACAATGAGTAGTTATATGTATGCTGATATGAATGAAGTCAATTTACAAATTAATATTGTCTATCTATTATCTTATAATTTAGTGACTCGATTTTTGAATAACTGTAATTTATGTTTTTTAATTAAATATACTAATCATAGCACTTATCCGTAATGTTTACATAAAAACGGTCTACTATGGTGTCGATAACTAATAAAAAATTCGAAGAGTTCTGCCTACAAAAGAAATAAATTGATACGTAATGTACATTAGCGCAGATATCAGAGTTATCGGACAAAAGGTTAACAGCAGCAACGTCCAATGCGTTTACACTTATAATTTAAATTACCCTACAAAGTTTATATAATAGATAACGTGGGTGGCAATATTTTCTATTATAGACCCGATAACCTAACAAGTGTCTCATTTGCGTTCTTAGCAATAAGTTTATTCTTTGTCAACTTGCTCTTAACAATTTTTTTAGCCACCTCTATAGATAATACGTTTGGTCTCAATATTAATCTTTACTTTATAAAGAGAAAACAATTTGCTAGAAACTTTTTCTCATTCGAGACGAAAAATGCAGTAATATTAACAGGGGTAATTGGCGGGCCCGATAAAAAATGAGGTTTGAATGCCCGTTGATACTTTGATAATCATACCGAGAACATTTCCTTTATCACAATGGGGAGCTTATTCACGATAGGATCTATTAAACCATTGTATGAAGCATAATCTGCAACGACATTAAGGGATAGCTTACAACTATTGTACTATACAAGTGCACCTTTATAAGTGCACACACCCATATTTTGCGATTCTGAGTCCCAGATATAATTATATCCCCTCCACACGTGCACCATTGTTCGCGTAATTCAATTAACAAAAATACAATAGAGATGTCAGTTTAATGGTGAATATACCATTGCGTTGCACTATTATGAAATAATATGGACAAAATATTTGCTACATTAGTATAATTGATTGAAACTTTAATCAGAATTCAGTCATGTTGTCCCAAAATTAAACAAGAGCACTTTTTGCTATCAAAAATGAACTTACACTGTAGTTATGCATTGACTAGTAAAAATTTGTGTCGATTGAGTTGAAAAGTTTATAAAAATACTATAATTGGATCTCGAATTTTGTAAACGGGAGAAAAACGACTTATTTTAGAGCCAGTTGGCCCAGGCACAATAACATAAGCATGTATGCCAAAACTTGTGCATGCGCTTTAAGGAATTTGTTTTAAAAAACTATAAACATCGAACAGTGCTAAGTGATTAAAATATACGTAATTTGACTTAGAACGTGACTGTCAAGGAGAAAATTAATTACTATCTGACAGTTAATTTTCTAATTCGTCGCGTTTACGTAGTTAACATATGTAAGTTCATCGATAGTTTGAATTCTATTGAGTAAGATTTTATCTAAATATAAACTATTTTCTTTATTATCTTTAATTGAATGGTAATCTCGGGAATGTTAGTTCAGCATTGTTCTCGGTAGTATCGGCAATTACATTTCGACGAGTATCAAAGCCATAGTGTTTACGATCGTGTCGAATTATTTTATGGACAATATTATTTCATTATCATCCTGATCTTCATACGTACTGTACACAGGCAAAAATTCGAAAATTTCAATTGACCAATCAAATGCGTACACCGCCATATTAATGATATATATTAAAGAGGCTGATTTCTTATGACAAAATTCAATCGATTCTGACAGTTTCTGTTTGGTAAAAGTGTCTTTATTATAAAATAAAATATCAGAAATATATTGATGTTGAAAAAAGGCTTTGGCAATGTTATGTGCAATTTAATCAGATAAACACGGACGGCATCGCGCTCACTGTGACAAATTCACAATGCATCTTAAGATTACAGCAAAAGCTGGATTGAAGTCCAGCGAATATTGAGAAAGAATAGAACACACATCCAATGAGATTTTTCTGTTTGTTTAGTAATTTGTGAACGCACAGCTCTTCTTTCGAGTTATCCCGCAAAGATTTTTCCCGGTTCGTACTTCCACGTCCATGTCCCCTTGAAAGGAATTTTCCACACATTCAATTGATTTCAAAACTCTCTGGACTGTACGGATCGACTAACATAATAATGACAAGCCAGTTTATGGAAGAATCAATTGGAGTAAAAGTAACTATCCTCCGACATAAATCTTTGCAATATTCTTGACTATTATAACCTATAAAATCGCTAATCTGTTATGCAGCAGCTAGCTGACAGCAGTGTTTTGTCAATAACTAATGTCAGAAATTGTCAATGAGTGCAGGTACGTGCAGGTAATCGCAAGTAATCGCAAGTAATCGTCAGTAATCGTCAGTAATCGCAAGTAATCGTCGGTAATCGCCAGTAATCGAAACCCCTTGTTCTATAGAGACTGGTACCAAAACCGCAACTACTTACCAAAGACGTAGTCAGAAGTGCTTGGGCAGCCATAAAGGACTGAGTATGAGTAAGTAATCGCAACAACTGTTGGGTCTTTGTTGAGTAATCGAAATTTTCGCAGTCAGGAGACGGTGTGTACAAAATTTCAGGGGTTTTTTCTATAATTTTGAAAACTGCTATAATTACAGCAAACACGAGTTCTGTACATAAATTATTGTTGGGCAGCCATTAATAGTACCACTATAGGAAAGCAATTAAATATCGTATTAATTATTTAAGTATTGTCATGCAAAACAATCAAGTTAAATTTATTTTTGTGTAGTATAATTGTTGGGGTTTTTACCGCCACAATTTCCCGTCATTGTATATAGTTTGTTCCATAATTACTCTATCTTTTCACCACAATCTCTACAAAATTTATTGATCTAATCCTCATCCATTTCATCAACTTCCGCTCTCATTGCTTCTACGGCTTCCCGTGTTGTCAAGCCATCTGGACAGTCATCTTTGGATGAAACGTAATGAGTATGTGTTCACGAAATGGCATATAAACAAGCAGTCAAATATAACTTACTCAAAAACTGTTTGATTAAGCTTCTTGACCTTTGTTGACTGTCTAGCTGTTTAGCCAAAGGCTGAACTATTCTCATCATGATTTCATAGAATTGGACGCTATATGGTGGTTTGATCATTTCCAATGTCTTCATAAAGATAAGTAGTGTAAGTAAGAAATTTCCAACACGAGAAGGATACATCTCACCTATACGAGACTCAAGGCTATAAAATATACACACCTTTTCCACGAAATAGAGGGAAAGCTTTTCCTTTATTTGTTTTGCGTTCTCTTCTACGTACCGTAGAACGGGTATGGCAAATTTCAATTTTATCAAGTAGAGCATACGATCCATTAACTCTGTCCGGAGAGCAGAGATAGCGTCACGCGTCAGGGTCAACGATCCTTCAAACAATTCAACGTACACGGTGAACACATGTCGCCGTTGGAATTCTTGTCGCTCTGCAATCTATTTGCAACAAACTTTAGCAAGCGCCCTTATATCCAATACATCTTGCACAAAACTTTTTAGAATTACCTCTTCCAGCAAATAGTGCGGCACTGGTACCACATTCTGCTTATAATGTTTTTCGTAAAAAGAAGTCTCCCGCAGCAAATATCGAATCCAATGTATGAGTGCCATTGAAGCCATAGGCGTACTGGAAAGCAACATTGAAGATATCACTTTCAGAACTGAGAAGAATTAAAAAGAGCACAAATGTGACTTACAAAGAAATTTGTCATAGTTACTCGATGAACTTCTGGTTATTCATCCATATATCTTTGAGGACATTATCCAGCTCTATTCCAGTTGCATTCTTGCGCGAGACTATTTCCTGAAGACTTCTGATAACTTCAAAAGTCTCATCAACTTTCGATATATCAACCTATCATACGATAACAATTATTAAAGCAGCTCATTCTCTAGTGATTTGCAAGGAAAGCAGCAAAATTTCCTCTTATTCTGCTCACCTCACCATCCTGCTTTTTAAAAGCGGACGCAGCATACGCAAGCACATACATATATTTCGCTTTTAACTCGGGCCTCTTCTCCTGATTGGCTGTGGGCACAAAAGTATTTTTGAGCAAATAATCCAGCAAATCTGGATCCCTCAAAAATATCGGATCAAGCGGTTTTGCTTCTTTACATGCTTTCCATAATGAAGCAACTTCGCCTGGCTGAGGTTGGGTGCTCCGCAGAGCGTTAACCACAGTCACCGGAGTGTCCATCAGTAAATTCCTAATATTTCTTATTAAATCAGGACCTATATGACCATTCGCAGCATTTTCTAGTTCTTTTGAAATTACACGGAATGCATAGCCTCCGGGCGTATCCGATAACAGCTTAATGTTTGTCTGTGTCAAAAAATATGTGTGGGGCTCGACAGCCACGGTCGGAACAAAATTTCGCAAAGCTCGCTCGAAACTTTCACCGTCCTTGTCGATTAGAGTGGATATTTGGTCTATTAAAACATCAGAGAAGACGCGAAGGTTGGACGTTGCTGCTCGTAAGTGCTTGATTTCGTCAGTGTACCCGCTTTCTGCTATTTTCTAGATACGCCAAGTTAGTAATGTAGTCAATATAGAAACATGTAAAGAACAATGGAATGCTTACCAGAATTAAACTGTTGAGAAAAGCATCACCAGGATATTTCTCGGATAATTGATATATGACTTTACGCCAATATGCATTGTTTATAAGATTTGCCACTTCATCCAGTGCCTACTTGCAAACGGAACGCGCATTAGTAGACGGACATTGTCGACTGCGTCAGAAAAGCAGAAACGAACCTGCGGAGACTTTGTCATGCAGGTAGTAATAGCGTTTGTATCATAATTGGCGAGAACCATATTCTTTAATGCATCTTGAATGAACGTTTCCGTTCCAGTGCTTCCAAACTCGTCCAGGACTTCTTGACAGAAACGGAGTTGCTCGGGGACCCCCGAGTAATTCTCGCAAAGGAATTCTACCAACTTTAGAGGTTGTCCTTTGTAATTGAGGAACTCTGTGGCAACATGTGCAGCATTCCGTTCCAATACGGAATCTGAGAGAAAGAGAGAACATGCTATGTTTAGAATGCATGCGTGAGGTGAATGTTCGCTAGCGGATGCGTCAAAAGCGCGTTACCTTCACGATTTAGGTACCTGACGCAGTCCTCCAATTTGTCCTCCTGGCCGTCCATGTTCTAGAATGAAACGCTCAACAAAAAAAATCCGGCACTAGTAACCGATGCATCGGAACACGTGCCACAAACAAGCTAACTCAGATTTAAGCAAAGCTGGTTATTAAACGAATCTTCTTTCCGGGATGTCGGGTTTTCTTGACTAAAGACTGTCTCTTGTCTCATAACTAAGATATCTCTTTATGAGAGCATGTAATGAAATAACGAGCACAATTCAAATTGGATAGGAAAAATCTCAGCATATAGTAATAGATCTTATACAAAAACAAGAGTATTATAAAATACACATTCTCATCATTAATAAACTCGATCCTCAAAGCAAACAAGACAATTAGATGCCAACAGTGATAACAATAATAGTGGTAGTATATAGAGACACGGCCGAGTAATAAGCAGCATTATGTGCTTACGAACACGCAGTCTACATGCCACTTTCGTATCATACGCGTCTTGTGCTTAAACTGCAAGTGCAGTTGTCGCAAAAATATAGATTGATAAATACTTGCGAAATAAAATATGTTCCGCACTGGATTACGACAATAATGTTTTTTTATTTTCAAAAATAGCACACCAAGGATTGATCAGGCACCTTCCCCGTAACCTATGAATTAACTTGCTTTATACATACTTTAAAAATATAGCGCTAAATTGCTCCAGAGTTTGTGATTAATAGAAATAACATCATACACAAAGTCATAGAAAAAGAAACAAACGGTGGTGTAATTATAATCCGAAAAGAGAATTTATTACACAATTAAATCGTCCCATGATTTAGTTGGTAACAAATCTTATTCACATGTTTGATACCCAATGATCCGATACAGAGACCCTTTTATATACGAAGACGTACTCCTATTGTGCCCTTACATTCGTCACACACGTCGCCCCGTTCTTTTCCTGAGCGATTTATACTCCAATGGGTAAGACACTCGCAATAGATACGATTACATTACTTGTGGGCTAATATACCTTGTCTAAACAGCAGAAAGTCTAAACGACTTTATAGCAGGCTATGTGAGCGGCGTAGCAGGTCTGCTAGTTGGGAATCCTTTAGATGTCCTGAAGGTAGACGGATAAAGATACTTGATATCTCTTGCGGCATAGGCTTCCGTGCTTAGCGTATTCTTGTTTGATTTTATAGGTCCGTCTACAAACGTATTCGCCCGGAGTGTCAAAACCGTCTCTTTCAGCAATGATAAAGACAGAAGGTGTAGGTGGAAATACCTAAACTCCGTCAGCTTTTTTAGCATTCCTCATCATTTAACCACCTTTGTCTCTGTCAGTTTACATCCCTCTTTAAAGGTGTAGCCTCTCCGATTGTAGGTCTTGCATTCTTAAATTCAATTCTTTTCGCATCATATGGTGGCATCCTCCGGTTGTTTTCAACCCCTAATGATCAACCTACGTTGACAGAAGTATATATTGCCGGGTTTGGTGCCGGTATAGCCTGCTTTTTAGCAAGTACTCCCACAGAGCTCGTCAAGTGTAAAACGCAAGTATTGCGAGAGGGAAAACATAGAAAAGACAGTGTCCGAGATCAAACAACCTCCTGGGCTGTATTCAAGGCTGTTTTGAGGCGAGAAGGCATAAGGGGTACGTAGGCAAACTCTGAATGTTCGAAAACCAGCTTCTCTACTACTAGAATAAATGTCGTCGAATTTCAGGCCTTTATCAGGGCGGATGGATAACCATTATAAGAGACGCGCCAGGATATGCAGTGTATTTCTGGTGAGTAAAAATTACATGGGAATTATCATGTCTAATGTCGTAATGTAGTACTAAAATTTAAGATTCTCGTGACAAAAAAAGGACATACGAAGGTTTGAAAAGGACACTGGGCGTCAATCAATCTTCGGGCCTCGATGACATTAGTAATGTCTCCCGTCTTCTGTTTGCCGGTGGCATGGCTGGACTTTTATCCTGGGCAAGCGTATACCCATTAGGTAAGAGGATGTACTCTATAGCTCCCTCCTAATGTCAAAAACGGTACATCTAATAAATACGCCCTCCTTTCATAACAGACACCATAAAGTCGCGGATCCAAACGCAAAGCCATTCTCCATTAATCAACAGAGAACAAGAATCAATGCGCCATTCGAACCAACCACTGTTAGTCAAAAAACCCGCCCCTGAACCGTACAAGGGCGTAATTGATTGTATAGTGCGATCGTATCGTGCAGAAGGCATCCGTGTCTTCTTTAGAGGAATGACGCCGACGCTGTTGCGTGCATGGCCTGTTAATGCGGTTACGTTTTATGTATATGAAATTATGATAAAATGGTTGAATAATAAATCATAATGAATTGAAGGAGATGCATTGGTGTTTACAGTTTTATTGCCAGTAAAAAGTGAAACAAATCTATTACAAAGGAGGAAATACCAGAATATATGGTAGGGGAGTAATAAAAAGAGACATTGGCGAGAGACGGACTTGATGATTAATTCTCACGTTCATAAGTTGGGTGGCTACGATTAATCTCACAAAGCTTAGTAACCGGGCGGCACGTATCCACCAATCGGTGGTGTTGACAGTCCAGGTTGCCCGGCCTGTCCAGGCTGACTGGGCTGGCCAGGTTGACCATACGGACTTCCCGATTGCTATCAATTACGAAAACGAGTACATATTAGTACCTGTACACGAAAAGACAAAAGATTTAAACATTTACCATTGCTTTCTGTTCATTTTCCAGCTGTATTAATGCCTGTTCCCTCTCAATCTCTAGTGCGAGTGGCATGACAACCAATAGGGCTGACGTGGTCAAGACCCACATTACTTTTCCTATCCAAGTAGCACCTTGCCAGCCAACTCTGAATACAGACGAAATGTTGCCTACTATGCTTTCCCGTGTATCTTGAGGTACTATGTCACGGAGAGCCTTTACCCGCTCAACGAATGACTCTTCAAAGTCGTCGTCTGAATTACTTCCTTCACTAGAACTATCCGACTGTTCATCACTTACTGCCTCTTCGTGATCTTCAAGTACCTACGGGTATCGGGTTAGATCAGAAAGAAAGCCGCCCAGTAAAGAAACAAAAAACGCAAACAATACCTCCTCTAATTCAACCATTTCGCCTATTTGGTGAAGGCTTGCACTAATAAATCGTAAAAATATCGGCTCTGGTTTGACTTGCCATAAATTTTATTAAATGCCGCGAACATTCTAGCCACGTGCATATGAACCTGATTGGATGAACTAGCCCAAAATTTTCTTTATTACTATTACTGTGCTGTTCCATCTCTGGTTATTCCGAATAATTAAAAATAATTTTTTGTTAAAACCCCTCAAGACATGGCTGAAGAATACGTTGGTGCTATTGGAATCGACTTGGGTACCACGTACTCGTGTGTCGCGGTATGGGAGAACGAACGCGTAGGTATGGTCATTTGTAACTTTCTCACAGCTTTTTTTTCAACGTTGTATCGTAATTATCCGTATTGTCCAGTAACGCCAACCAATATTATAATAGAAATAATAGCAAATGAACAGGGCAACCGTACCACACCGTCTTACGTGGCGTTCGCTGGTGCTGAGCGTCTTATCGGAGACGCGGCCAAAAATCAAGCAGCAATGAATCCAAAAAATACAGTCTTTGATGCGAAACGTCTTATTGGTCGGCGGTTCGATGACCCTGAAGTCAAGGCAGATATGAAACATTGGCCGTTTACTGTTGTTGATGGTGAAAGCTCACCCCAGATACAAGTTGAATATATGGGCGAAACTAAAACATTCACGCCGCAGGAAATATCGTCAATGGTGTTGGCTAAAATGAAGGTATGTTTAACTCTGCGTGAGTGGATCAGTCTGCATCACGAGTTTCTTTTTTTTTTTTTATAATCCCAATATTCATTATGATTCCTCGAATTGTTACGCTCTGCCCCGATTTTTAGTCAATTGCAGAAGGAAAACTTGGCAAGACAGTCAAGAAAGCTGTGATAACGGTTCCAGCATACTTTAACGATTCCCAACGCCTAGCAACCAAAGATGCGGGAACGATATCTGGTCTTGATGTTCTTCGCATAATCAACGAGCCTACAGCGGCAGCAATTGCATATGGTCTTGATGCAAAAGACACCAGCGAAAAGAATGTTCTCATATTCGACCTCGGCGGAGGTACGTTTGATGTGTCGCTCTTGAATATAACTGGTGGAGTCTTTGCCGTAAAAGCTACAGCAGGAGATACCCATCTGGGCGGGCAGGATTTTGACAACAATCTTCTCGAACACTTCAAGTCGGAATTCAAACGGAAACATAAAGCCGACATCTCACCGGATGCTAGAGCAATACGACGACTGCGCAGCGCGTGTGAGAGGGCCAAGCGAACTCTTAGTTCTTCAGCACAAACTACAATAGAAGTAGATTCATTGCACGGAGGTGTTGATTTTCAGGCAAGCATTACACGTGCCAAGTTTGAAGAATTGAATGTATCATTATTTAATTCCACTATCGAACCTGTCAAAAAAGTATTAAAAGATGCAAAGATGGAAAAGAAAGACATTCATGAAATTGTTCTTGTTGGGGGATCTACGCGTATTCCCAAGATACAGTCTTTGCTTCAGGAGTATTTTGACGGAAAGGAGTTGAACAAATCGATAAATCCTGATGAAGCCGTAGCATATGGTGCAGCAGTCCAAGCGGCAGTTTTGACAAATCAGGCAAACAACGAAAAGACTCAGGATCTTTTGCTTCTCGACGTCGTACCCCTTAGTTTAGGCGTTGAGACTCAGGGTGGAGTTATGGCCGTGGTCGTTCCGCGTAACACACCAATGCCTACGATTAAGAAAAAGATTTTTACAACTGCCGAAGATGGTCAAACTATTGTTGAATTTCCCGTGTACGAAGGAGAACGACCAATGTGCAGAGATAATAATTTACTCGGCTCTTTTGAGTTATCCGGTATTCCGCCTATGCCACGTGGAGAAGCCGAACTTGAATGTACATTTGATATAAATGCGGACGGCATATTGAAAGTTACGGCAAGGGATAAAATAACAGGACGTAAAGCTAATATTACTATTAGCAATTCTGTAGGACGGTTGTCCGCTGCTGACATAGAAAGAATGATTTCCGAGTCTGAAAGGTTTAAATTGGAGGATGGCAAGAAGCAGGAGTGTATTGAAGCCAGACAAGAACTAGAGAACTACATATATCAGGTAATGTTTAATATTGGCGCGTCTAATGTTGGGAGATTATCCAGTCTTCGCTATGGTATGTGCTGACGTTTACTCGGTTTATGCAGATTGAAAACACATTAAACGAACCTAATGTTGCCCTGAAGATAAAACATAACGAAAAAGACACGATTGAAAATGCGTTATCAGAAACTCTTGAATTTCTTGACCTTAATGAAGGTTCGTCGGCCTCAAAGGATGAAATCAGCGCAGTTCGCAAAAAGCTACAACGTACAGTCACGCGTGCGTTTGCATCGCTTAATCGATAGATAGACGTACATACGTATGTGTATGATTTGGGGACGTCAAGTGATTCGTAAGGCTTTAGCTTATATTAATTAGTAAAGGATGAATGTGTCAACGTATGAGCTATGTACAGATTGAGATTTATTGAACGAATATCAATGATTCGGTGCCCTTCAAATTTTCGACAATGCTACATGAAAACACAAATACGCCGACTAGTCTGCGACTCTGTCCTTTTGTTATTCGGTCAATTCGATAGCTATAGCGACGCAGACTAGCAAATTGCAATTACGTAGCGACAGTAAAGACATTTGCACATTGTATACCAAGTACAACAAAAAAAAGGCATTCGATTCTACGTGCAATAAAATAGAGGGCTTATCGGTAAACACTTGGGTCCTTTTCGCTATATTGATCAATAGTCTCACATGTTATTCGGCAGTTTGCAAAATCACAATTAGGCGAAAGTTGGAAACGCAAAGTGCTTGTTGACAATTTGGCACAACTTTAGGTAATATAAGTAGGGTACATCGCGAGCGTAAAATAAGAATTAGCCTCTTTAGCTCAGATGGTAGAGCGTACGCCTAGTAAGCGTAAGGTAGCCAGTTCGATCCTGGCAAGAGGCAAATTGTCTTTTTGCCGCTTGAAGATCTTACTAGGTACTGTAACACTGGACACCGAAAATCTTTAGTCTTCATTTACTAACCACTTTTGCTATTAGAGCCTTATTCACATAGTTTATTCTTTCAACTTGAATGTTCTAAATCGAGCGAAGATTTGTTCTGAAGTAATGGTAAGAGATCTTTTTGGTTTGGTCACTTTTCTCGACACATGTCAAAAGGACTACGCTCAAACAAAAATAGTATTGTGTTGCCACAAACTAGTACCCTCAAACGTGTGTTACCGTTTGATAAAAAGTGAGGCTCAATTATTCGTATATGGTATACTAGTAAATTTGCAAAGTGCAACGAATCGATTATAATACTTTTGCTTCCAATACGCCTGTGACGATCTACAATTATAGTCTCGCTTGAACAAAAGCTATAATGCTTTGGGTCAATCGTCGACTGGGACACCAAGTTCTTATTTTCTTTTGATATATGATTGCGTGTAGAATAAAATTGAGATTTTTCATAGTCAAGTTATTAAGAACGCTGACTAAGACTCAAAACTTGAAGCCAAAAATGTAAATTAGAAACAATTATAGAAAATGATCGATGAGAAGACTTTTGTTTTATAAAATATATTTATTGATTATACTGTATCTCGTTTGATAGCATATGATTATTATATTCAGATAAGATATATTATGGATAACAGTATCAAATTACAGCAAATTTTACCATTGCATTCTCTTCTTGGAGAACCTCTCTACCTTTTCCCTCTTGACTTTATTAGGTGGGGTTAACAAATCCGGACAATTGCTTTTCAATATGTCCGTAGCCTTGGCCAAGTTGGAGGTAATATAAGTAAATCGCGAATCGGAAGGATGCGCGGCCACAAATTTCGTGTAAGTGGTAACCATGAAGGCATAAGCAGGCGTGCACATCGCCGAAACGGACAGCTGTTGGAGGGTATGCTTATGAGTTATGTTGGACACGAGATAATACTCGAGTATGGGGTGGTTGGGCGCGTGAATATATATTTGATCTGGTGTAGCTTTCGTCTTTGCGTCTTCTACAATGGAGCCAAGGATGTCAAAGCCAATGCTGTCTGTAAGATAAAATATCGATTAGCGCATATTAACAGTATGTGTAACGATGATATATTGTTCATTGATTAATCCCTTACCTCCGTTTTTATCCTTTGTGCAATAAACCTCTCTTTGAGGAACACCGCCGTACAATATTATATCTGCAGCCCTAGCATCATCTACTCCAGTA